TCCGAATATCGAAACCGCAAATCTCTACGATCTTTCTCGGTGGAGTTATGGGCATTTTTCGAAAAACGGGTATTTTTCCGGTTTTTGACCATCGCTCCATATTTTGGAATTTTCTTGGCGAGGAAAGGGTTTTGGGAGCCGGGATGGTGATATTCGTGATTGCCGTTCGATTCTCTATCGAATGGTGTATAAATCAACCAAACCTATTTTTTCACTACATCTTTGAATGAGCTGCATCTTATATTAAATAACAATGAATGGCTATATAACGATAGAAAATGAAACGGAATCAGAAACGTTTGGATAATCGATCGTATCCAAAATGGTCAACAATATAATTGAAATTAATAGATTGTCATTTGAAATTACTGTATTGTAAAACATAATATGTAGTCAATTGATAGACTAACATTTACTGATTATATTATTTATCGGAAAATCTCTGATGCACCCCCATCAGCGACTGTTTGATGTTTATTTTTTATGTCATTTTAGTATCAAAACAATGAATGATATTTTTGATATTGTCAGTTTTAATTAGGGTTTATTTATGATTAAATTTATCGTGTCGATAATGTTATCATGATTCATCAAGTGGTCTATCATCCAAGGAATGGGATACCATAACTAGTGATCATATTCAAGATGGAAATATTACTTATGTATGAGTCTTGCTTTATTTTTTGTATGAATGTACTTGTTTGTCAATAAAAGTATGCAGCGTAAACCTCATGAATAGTAATACTGAATGTTATTCATTTTCTTTCAAGATAATGAGAACATTATAAAAAGATAAATTATAAGTGTGAATGATCGGGTCACAGTGAACAGTGTGGGCTTATGATACAGATATGTGCTATAACGTCTTAAAAAAAGCATTTGGGAGTTTAGAAAGACACTTTTTTCTAGGTTTTCATATATGCTCCTTCTAATGGTGTTAAAGTTCAAAGTGTTTTCTTCATAGGATTTCAGAGACGAACTTATGGAAAACCTTACCGTTCGATGTGGACATCAGATTTTTTTTCCATCAAAAATATAATTCCGTGATCAGAAATCATTATCTATTGCGCATAGAACCATTTTAAAGCAAAAAAAAGTATTTTAGAACAGTTTTTTTTTATCAAAAAGTTACGAGGCGGAGTCTTATCTAAATTGTTTCCCGAAAGCTTTTTCTGAAATATTTTTATGTCATACGTTTTTTACGCTGATTCCGAATATGCCCTTATTTTTCAATAAGGGCATTCTTGGACCTAAAAGCATGGATTTTATCTAAAAATTCCGTTTCTATTTTTGGAAAACGTCTAAAAAAAATCAGAAAAGTTTATGCATGCACTATAGCTACAGGACACATAGACGAACATTATAGTATATTTTTGAGCCAGGTTGTGATGTAGCAAATTTTAGCAAACTCATCATACTGACAAGTGCTTAGGGAAACTAAGCGTTTTCAGAAAAAAAAGTTTTCTTTCTAATGTTTTACGTCAAAAATAAAATCGCTCTTCACTATTAAGTAGTAAAACGCGTCTAAAGTCAGATTGAGGATGATTTATATTATAACTTCGTTGGATCTTATAGAAAAGTTGTTGTTTTTTTCAACCAATGTCATCGTTTTGCACCCGTTTTTGGCCAAGTGTTTTCAGATGATCCTTTATAGTTAGAATCAAAATTGTTTCGGCATTAGATAGTCCATATATCAAAGTATATTACAGTAGAATCTCATGCTCTATATCCCGTTTTGAATCAAAATATATCCCTATCAGGATATAGCCCAATCGGGATATAAATTCGATTTTTTCACATAAAATTTATTAGCGAAAAAATGATGATGTTCGCGGAAAGTTTTGACACCACCATTAAAAAGAGGAGGAAAACCTACACTAGATTGTTTTTTCCTCATGGTTAACTCTTTTTTTTTTCTCGTCAACGATCTTTTTTCAAACAAAAGTTAATACTCAAAAATCTATATCCCGATCAACAGAAATTGCTTCCGCTATAAAAATGTTAAATATATCCCAGATCAGAATATATATTCCAATTGGGATATAGTTCTCTACTGTATTATCCAGTATCTCAATCTGAAAAAACCACACTTTTGGTTTTGGGCTAAATGTCCGGATCGTTCCACATTGTGCGGGTATCAATTACCTTTGTGTGGTCTTCACTCATACTGATCGCTTACCACAGATCGATTACTTTGTCTTGCTTACAAACCATAAGCTTGCACTTGAATCTTAACATCGTTTGTTATTGTGCAAGCAATAAATAAGTTATTAGAAAAGAAAGTAGAATATAGATACAATGGTTAATAGCAGTTATTTCTAGGAATCATTTTTTTCAGTACGTTGAGTTTTCCAGTACACAGCATGTGTTCTTATTTGTAAGTAAAAACTATATTTAGTGTAGTCGTATTCAGAACACATCAATATTATTACAAGGTAATGGTTAGGTATGCAATAGTTGCGGTTACCTGCTACAGTTAAAACGGGTATATTTGATAATCGAAACTGATCATAACTGAGAGAAAAAATTTATAAGAGAGATAGAATATCGAAAAAGAAAATCCATGTATTGTTGCTCAGGATACTGTGTCATGTTCTTTTATGGCTTTTCTGATAAACTCTAGTTTTCATGCAATCACATTACGACTCCTTGGAAAAATAATCCAATCGAGCTCAACAGATAGCGCAGAGCCCATCTCATGATCCAATTATTTTTTGAAAAAGTATATTTTCGTTTGAAAAATGCTAAAAATCGTATGTAAACAGTGTGTAAAAGTCGATCTTTGATTTTAAAAATCTTCTCAGACTGAAATTTCAACTTGAAAATGCTTAAAAGGGATTTAGAATCTGATAGAGTATGAAGTATATGCAATAAAAAGTTATTTTGTCGCAGTGTGACTGCATGAAAACTAGAGTTTATCAGAAAAGCCATAAAAGAACATGACACAGTATCCTGAGCAACAATACATGGATTTTCTTTTTCCGTATTCTGTATCTCGTATAATTTTTTTCTCATAGTTATGATCAATTTCGATTATCAAATGTACTAGTTTTAATTGTAGCAGTTTTACAGTTCCACAGTTTAGTAGTTACAGTTAACTGCTTTTTAACCGCAACTGATGCATACGTAGTAATGATAACTAAATGTTACCGTCAGAAGTTGTAAAGGAGGCATAGGTCCTTCATCTAAGTCGGTTATACGTTTTTTCATGGTAAAAGTACTGACGTATATTTAGCATGTCATACTAGGCGTTTTTTTATGATTACAGCGGTGATTATTGGTTTTGCGTGTTTATAAAATTAATCGCTGTCAATTAACTACTGTCAATGATTTTTATTTCTTTGACTAAGCGCTGATCTTTTTTGTCTCATATCATTCAGCTGTTCATATGGTATCGAATCGATAAGAAAAATAAATGGAAAAAAAATTAAACGCATGTCCTTGTTTAGTCATGCATGCTAAGTTTTATCTGTGTTAAAGGTATACTCTTGTTTTGTTTTGTTTTCTTTGATACTGATGGAGTTGATAACATATGAATAGCTAAAAGCATGTCTGAAAATAAAACGAAATTTCTTCCCCGACGTAATCCTCATATTTACTATGTTCCCCGAAAACCAGATGTTCAAAAAGGCGTTTTATTTACTCCTAAGACCAATCACATTCAACCATTACATAAACAAATTTATTTTCGTCCACCACTACTCCCTGCACTCCCCACTTCACGTAAACGGGAACAATTAAAGTCGAATTCAAGACCAGTACAATTATTACCAATTCATAGACAAAAAGAAAAATCAACCTCAGTACCACGATTAAAGTATGTTCCATCATCACCATCAGCTAAATCGACTGTACCATCATCACCATCAACCGGACACAAAATTTATCATTCTAAAGAGTCGGCCGAAAACCCTAGATCAAGATGGAAAAAAGCGTTTAAACTCGTTAAAGAAAGTAACCAAAAGAATAAAATTGAAACAATAAATCTAAATCGAACAAATAACGGCTATATCAGTAAGTTAGAATTTAAAGATAAAAAAATATTTTTGACAATTAATATTTGTATCTATATTTCATAATTGTACTTTAAATGGTCATGAATAATATTAATTTATTCCTGTAGGGTACCCATTTAGATGAAACTCTAAGATGTACTGGAAAATAGTAATAGTGAAACGCAATAATGAAAATGAGATTTCACGTGAGTTGAAGTGAATATAAGACAACTTATGCTCAATGAAAAAAACATAACATTTTTATTTTGAATATTTATATTATGAGAAAATTTTCTAAGAAATCAAAACCATTTACTTCTGTTCCAAGACGTTGTTATTATTACACTGAACCCTCAATATCACATAGATATATCTCTGTTGACCATCAACCAGTATCATCGTATAATAATTATCCATTGTTGACTCAATGGCAACGTTCTTTAAATTATAATTTACCATTGTGTAAGAATAATCAAAATAGAAAGAATCGAGAACAAGTATATTCTCATCGTAAATCGGCTTTTGTACATCGTAAGTTTTTCCAATCAAAAATATTATTATTCTTAAAATAATCAAGATAAACTAATTCATAGATTATGATATAAGCAATTATTCTATTCTTCAAAGATAATATCGATATACTCTAAATTTATCTGTAAATATTAATTAGTACTCTATTGTAGAATCTATTTTGTTCTGTTTAAGGCAGTGATAATGGCTATTCATCAAGTAATCGCTATGAAAATTCATTACGAATGCATCAACGTAAACAACAACGATACGATGAACAAGCTAAACTATTTGGTGAAACATTGACTCTTGTACGGTTTGAAGAACGTTTTTTATATGCGAATATAGTGTCTAACATAAGCAGTATTTATCATTTAGCAAGACAATCAATTACAACAACAGCAGCAACAAATTGAAAATTATGTCAGAAACACAGTGCGTATCTCCTTGATAAAATTAAGAATAACTAATTGCCTAGCACTAATATCTTTTTTTTTCTTCTTTTCTTTAGAATCCATTGCCAGTACTAGTTCCAGTTCTACCTACACCAGTATGAATTTAGTTTAGTTAACTGAAATAAGCTTTATGTTTATCACTATTTTCATTTAAATTAGTTAATAATTTTTGATTTTATCTGAGTAATGTTATTTTTTTACTTCTTATTTCAGCCTCAACCAATTATTTATCCTCAAAATATGTATAATTCATTGAATATGAGTAATGCATGTGCATGGAGACCTGCAATGACAAGAATGGGACCAGCTGGTGGATGAGGTTAAAGAACCCGATTGTTTAGTGAACATAACATTATTTCTAATAAATGGTAAAAATTCTTCGAATCTGAATAATATAGTGAGGGAAATTCTTTAATAGATTATTAGGATGGGATCATATTTTCTCTAGTCTTCAGTATTTTTCACCATCCAATCTTTAACTAAAAACTTATTATTTATGTTCTTTTGTATAATTATTTCATTTGTTCATTCATCATTCGATTTTTTTTTCAAATTCTTACTATTTTTTTTACTTTTTTGACTCTCTTCTAGGTTTAGTGTTATGTTGACAATCGGCTATTCACAAGTGATTTGATGTGATGATGAATGCCGGCATTATTTCTTCTAATGACGTTATAAATGGAAATGTTTAATTAAAAACAACATTAATAACTGATATTTTCTTACTGGTTATTATCACACAAACACTCGTCTCTATTATCTAATATATTTTTTATTATTTTTATTGGAAAATGATATTTATTTTTTATGTGTTGACCTTATATTCAAAAATGCTTCTTTTTGTCTTTATTGATGATCATAGATTTATTTTCTTATTATTTTTTTCCTAAAGTTGATTAAAAAGTGTTTAATAAAAGGTGTTAATTATAAATAGTGCACAACTAGAAAAGGATCGAAATATGAATATTATTTATTTGACAGAAAAATGAAGGCAGTTTCATACGTAAAATATAGAATATATTGCATCTATCAACGTGGTTAAGAAGGATAAACACTTCACTTTTTCTCGACTATGAATTCAAGTGCTGGAATCTCTTGTAACATTTTTGTTTAAAATATGTGTTAGTAAAACAGTTATTCCATCAAGAAATACTATATAACGGGTAGTCCAAATTAATTTGCTAGTTTTTGATAGACTTTTTTCTCTAGTTAGACTCGACCAGAAAGTTTGGTTCTGATACTAAAAGAGGAAGAATTTTTTTGTAGATTTTGATATATTCGTTCTTAAATCAGCATGTACCGTACTTTTGTAGCATTAAAAGTATTGAATGTCACAAAAACATCCTTTTGCTTAGTACTTGACTGGAATAAAATGTGATTTTTATTTGCTAAATAACCTTCTATACGCTATTTAAACACACTATGAAAAAGTACAGAAATGTATTTGTTTTTGAGACACAAGTTTTACTATGTTGAAAACCGCCTACAAAATAAATTGATTTTTACACCTTTCCGATTTTGTAGTTGAGCAAGTGATATTTTTGTGACATTCAATACTTTTAATGCTACAAAAGTACGGTACATGCTTATTTAAAAAAAGAACATATCAATAAAATCTACAAAAAAATTCTCTATCTTTTAGTATCAGAATCAAACTTATTTTTCGAAAAGTAATTATATATTCTGAAATCGTTTGGAATTCTCTATTATCATTCCCACGAATTGTAACGGGTGCGCCCTCTTAGTATTTTCTATTTTTCTCGCGTTTCTTTAGAATCCAAAGGTTAATGTTTTTCTTAAGAAAATGCGCCGCGAAATACTCTAGAAAACCACACCTAAACTTTAATTTCAGAATGTCAATCAAGAAAACTACGCAGATTATACGAAAGTCGAAAAAAAATGAAAAGTTGGAAAAATCTGATATTTTTTTCCACTTGAATCTTTTTCTTCTGCTATTATTTCCGTTAAAAATGGTTGCAAAAGTGAAAATGCAGTTCTTTGTGTACTTTTTTTTTACGACTGAAAACGGAATAAAAAATGCCGTTTGTGAGAATCTAATAATAAGGGTGCCTTCATTATATCCGAAATATTTTTCAGCAAATAAGTGTAAGTCAAGACATAAATATACAGGATGATAGAGAATTCCGAGCGCTTTCAGAATATATAATTACGCTTCTAAAAATAAAATTTAAAAAACCGACTGAAAACATTTATTTCCAGCCGGATATATATATCTATGGTTATAATTTATTGGCATTCTCTAGTGGAAAGCCAACAAGAACTTCCAATAGTGTGAGAATAAATAAGAGCTAAAGTCTGTTTAGTAGTTAATGTTTACCCAAATCTCTAACATATCCTTGCTAGTTATAAATCAGTAATGGAAAAGGCTAAATGATTTTCATAATCTCTGCATTATGTCGTTCTTCAATTTTTAAACGAAAATAAATACATTTTTCTAATCGTGTTATCACCGACAAGTGAACTGTTCTGAATAGAGAACTAGCAAATAACCAGATATCACTTTTCGCATACGCATATCTTTCTGTTCTCTTCTTTTCGATTGACGCGTTGAGACGAAAGAAAATCCGCACATGGGATATCTTATGTGAAAAGAGATATCCCCTTATTTGCTAGTTCTCTAACATATTTAATAGTTACCTTTGCGTGAACAAAGTACAGAAAGCGTAACGACATATGTAGTCTTTTCAAGGATATGTGTGCATCCTTCAATAAGAATAATAACTACTCGTCTACGTATGTTGCTCTTTCTACATAATAAAAACGACTTTTAATTCGTTTAAAGAAACACCATGTATGATGCATTCAAAACATTCTAA